TGCTTTTTGTGGGAAATAAGGTCAGTACTTCCCATATACAAGCAGGCCTCCTTTCTGTTTGTCATTGGGTTTCTCCTTGGGTAATTTCTTTCACTTTTTGTCTTTAGCTATTATCTCAGTGCCTACCTTGTCCTGCGGGCTCCTGTCTGGAGCTTCAGAAATTCTTCGGATTTGCCATTTGTATCTTCTTAAGATGGTATTTCTTGTATCTTCTCTCTCATTTTCTATCACAATTAGTGACATTGCCATTGATTCAACAGCCCTCCCCTCCTAAACCTGCTAGATAACTCATATTTATTTTTGAACTCTCATTTTCACGTTCAGTTGACCTTCAGATTTTTTTAACAGTTTATTTATTTTCAGAGAGAAGGGGAGGGAGGGAGACAGAGGGAGAGAAACATCAACATGTGGTTGTCTCCTGTGTGCTGCTTACTGGGGATCTGGCCTGCAACCCAAGTATGTGCCCTGACTGGGAATCGAACCTGTGACTCTTTGGTTCACAGGCCAGTGCTCAATCCACTGAACCATATCAGCCAGGGATCTTCAGATTGTTCTGTTGGTCCTTCTCAATTAATTCAACAACTTCTCTCAGTACTCCATGCTTCTCCTTTAGTTTAGACCAAGGGTGTCCAACCTTTTAAGCATCCCTGAGCCACACTGGAAGAAGAGTTGTCTCAGGCCACACATTAAATACACAAACACTAAGGAAAACCAATGAGCAAAAAAAAAAAAAAGGTCTGTGCATAATTTTTGTGATATCTGCCCCACAGATAAGCAAAAAACTCCTCAGGTAATAACCCTAATTATGCAGCGGCTCTTCGACCATCTCTTAAAATCATCAAGCAGGTCCCAAGTTTGTGATCACTAATGGAGAAAATGTACATATCTAAGTAATAAAACATCATCATACATGTTTATTCTATGTAACATCATGACACATAATTACAAAAAAATCTCAAGTTCTAAGTAGATTTACGATTTTGTGTTGGGCCACATCATAGCCATCCTGGCTGTGTGTGGCTGTGGGATGTACACCCCTGGGGTAGACCTTTACTTCCCCTAACCTATTTTATTGCAAAAGCCTAACTGTAAGCAAAATGCCTAATTGTTCTCTTTCAACAGTAATGCTCTTGTCACACTGCTTCCGGATATGATCATTTGCTCGTTCATTTAATGTTATGGTAGCTCCCTATGTTCACAAGATGAAGCAGGTCATTCATTTCTTCATTCAATTAATATAAGGAATTCCTACCATGAGGCTGACACTAAATAACTATTGGTGACACAGGTTGATAGTCTACATTTTTTGCCTTACTCGGTAATCTAATTTCAATGTAATTCTATGGATTTATTTTTTTCTTCCTAACACACACCAGCCCCTGCCTACACCGCCCACTGCTTTGTGCTTTGAAAGGTATTTTGTACTGCAGCTCTTCAGGTGTGTTATACATTCTGCTAAGGTATTATGCTGTATCATCCTGGTGAACTCCTGCTTTTGGGGAGGTAATTCTCTGTGGATCGCTTACATTTCTGCATTACTTGTGAGAAGAGGCATTCACTGTCTTTGTGCTGGATTATCTTTTCCAGGATGTTTGTATGGCAAGCAACCTTGAAAGACAGAAATAGTGTCTTCTAGAGCAAAGGGCAGACATGTTTATTGTTCATTATAAAAAAATTTGGCCACACTAAACTCAGGATTTCTCCCTGTAATGCAACCCACTGTGTGTGCAAGTGTTACTTGGGTCATCCTTGGGAACTGGGACTCGGGAAACTGGTGTAAGAAAGTGCTAATACTCTGGCTATGACTATGGCTATGAGTGAAAGCCCTTTCTGTTTGATTCAGGAACCTCATGTTGTTTCCCAGCATCCATGAAGCCATTGCACGGTAATTAGTTTGATAATAGGGTACAGTTTCAAAACTTCACAGTTCTAAGTACTGTCTGTTCATCTTTAGAGGTCCAGCTTGAATGTTTGCTCTTTGATGCAAATATCACTGATCTTTATAGGTGAAATTACTCTTGTAAATCTGTGATCATCCACAGCATTGTTTTTTATAGTCTTTGACATGTTAGGTTTTGATTATGCCTGTCCAAATCTGTCTCCTTACTAGATGAATAGACCATTAGAATCAGAATACCTGGTAGCATTTAAGAAATGCACATTAAGATATTTGATAAAATTGATGAACCAGTGACTTACTCCTTTTCTTGACTTTCTCCTTGTTGACCTCATCTTCTTTATAATATCTGAGGTATGGAGTAACTTATTTAAATTTTACTTTCAAAGCATCATCCTCCTGTCCTCATTCTATAACTGCTGGGAATGATGACTTCCTCTATGCCTGCTACCCCAATCCAAAATTCCTCCACTGTGGAAATGTGTACATATCTGACTTGCTTCTCGTTTGTGATATAATGCCAAATCCCCAAGAATACAGAAAATACATTGAACATCCATGGTTCCAACATTTTATATAAAAGTAGTTTTATCTTACTGTATATGTCCTTATACCTAATTGTAATAAGTCTGTTAAACTATTTGCAGTTTTCTTTTTAACCCTTAAGATGTTATACAGCACAGCTTGACACTGATTGAATTAACATGTTTTTACTTTGATTTCTGATCTGGGCAGTACACCCTGATCAGGCTCTTTTAGTCCACACTGTTGATGACAACTATTCTTTGTGTGTTACACCACTCAGGCTTCGATTATTCAGGCCATGTTTTCTATAGTACCAGGTATTACCTAGTTCCTTTTTGGAGTTGATGATAAAAACAGTAAGAAAAGCATATTTAGGAGAGAGGGTTATAGAAAAAAGTTTGAGTATTAGTCAAACCACCAAGTCTCATTGGCTAGACCTCGTGAGTCTAGGTTGATTCCTCTGGAAAACTTGTGTTCCTACAGTAACTTGAGAAATGGAGCTTCTTAGATTTTGTGCTCTGCTGTCTTCCTATCACAGTAAGATGCCTCTACAGGGGAAGAATGAATGGAGAGCCATAATCTCTTCAAATCCCACTGGCCAAAGACAGTCCCATGGCCCCATCACATGGCAAAGGCTGAGAATAGCAGTGTGCATTCCTAATGAGAACAGAACTAATGAGAGAAAGGGGTCACTCATGTGAAAGGACGTCAAGTCTGAGAGAATGACGGTGTTGGTACCAACGTGGTTCTCTAATGCTTTCACTTTGTGGCACCCACAGGATCTCAGGATTTTTGCATGGATTCCTAGGCCAAAATATCTAACTATATTTATTGTTAATTGAGTAGTTATATCCAAACAGTTTAAAATGTATTTTTATACCAATAACTTGGTAGCTCTTTGAGAAAAAGTAACGCACCTACTTGAAAGAAAAAAAAGAATTTTTGTCTTAACACAGTTGCTTACTAAAAAGATGTGTGGATCTCTTCACACTGCACACCTCAGAGACATTGGAATCAGTTTGGCATCACCACCCTTATTTCTAGTTCTACACTAAGTTTCGCCCTTATTCCTTTTTTTGTCCACCAACCACCAAAACACAGCATCACTAAGTTATGGTGTCTGGGGAATATAGTAGGTGCTAATGTTGGAACTGTGAACTATCTTGAGCTAGTAGTTCACGCAGTGACTGATAGATTTTGAATATTCCTGTATTTCTCTTGAAAATTTGAAGCATGCCCTAACACTCTGTAAGTGGGCTTTAGGGTCCTGGCACTCCTCGGTGCACAGTTTGTCCTAGGTACTCTATATAGGTCACTTCTCACAACAGTTGAAAGGTAGGTATTGTCATTCCCAAGTTGGATGAGAAAATGAAGGTCCGAGAAGGACAAGAATCCTACCCCGAACCTCCTCCTTAGTAATTAGCAGAGTAGAAGCCTCCTGGCTCCAAGCCTCATTGCATCATGCCATGTGTCATGAGATTTGCAGGATTAAGTTTTTCACAGCTTCCTCTCCCCATGACCTTTTCTGTGTTTCAAGCAACATTGAAACGACTATTTTTTTAAAACATGTGGAAGTGCTTGAAGCTCATGGAAATGATTTTAAGTCATGTCTACATTTGTAGCTTTAAGGCACACCTGCTAGAGAATAAATTCTCTTGAGCAGAGATTAAAGAACTTTAAAATGGTCTTAAAATGGCCCCAAGGAAGGTTGTTTAAGCTTTGAAATCAAGACAGTACATTTCTAATTAACTTGTAATTATTTTACTACTAATTTTTAATGGGAAATTTAGTATGGACCGCATATTACTTTTTCTTCGGCTGTCAGGACAATCCCTAAACTAAACCTTCTTCACCAGCTGTTGCCTAATTCAATATGGTCCATGTTGGAATTTTTCCAACTCTGCCTGCACATAATTTCCAAGTCTCAACAGACCCGTGCAAAAATGAAGCATAACTATAATCTTTCATGGTACTCATAGTTCTATTTAATTATCTGAAATACTACCTGATAAATGGTGCAATCAGAAGAATTCCAGTTTAACAGTAACCACTTCCACATCACTTTTCTGCTCTCATCTAATGTGAAACAGGTTTGGATTACTACTTCTAAATTATGTAAACTCCTAATCAATGATTAATTTAAGAATCTCCAAGCTGCTGCCTTTCCCCCTTTTTTTGTGTGTGGTTCCTAAGTGTCAAAGAATTTAGGGCTAGTCAAGTGGAATTTTTTTCCCTAGACTTTTTAAGCCTTTATTTTCTATTGAACTTGTCGAGAGGATGAAAGACAGGTGGTTAGACCATAGAAGAGTAAATCCTTACAATAGAATATTATTTTCAAAGAAAATGCTTCTTAATGTAGAATTAAAAGTATATTTTCATTAAATGACTCTGACATAGATTATAGTTCAGAGAAATATCTGAAATGAAAAACTCTTCCTTATTAAAAAAATCATCAACAAATGGTAGCAGAGTGATATTTATTGGAGCACTCTGTAAATGCCAGGCATTTTACACTTACTATTTTATTTGACCCTAAAACCAACCATGGGACGTCATTGTTCTTACTTTCATTTTGCAGAGAAAGAAACTGACAACAGAGAGCCTGAGGAAATTTCCTAAGTTTACATGTGAATAAACGCGAGAACTTGCATTTGAACTCAGGTGGGTCTGGTATCCACTCGGAAGCTGTGGCTTTTACAGACAGGGCTGTGCTGTCTCCAGACCAAGATGCATGGGGATGGGCTCATGTCTTTTATGTTTTATAACAGTGATAGTATATGAAAACATGTTATTAATTTTAATTAAATACAGGTGGGGCAAAAGTTGGCTTACAGTTGTGAGTATGCCAGACACTGAATTTATTCTTGTGCTTATTAATTGTTGTATTATTTTTCACAGGAACCACTGTAAACCTACTTTGCCCCACCCTGTATTTACTGGGCGCTATGATGTAACTGGCACGTATATGCATTTTCTAAAAATTCCTGATTTATTTTTAGCTCTTTTCTTATTTGATATTAGAGATCTGAAAGGATCCCAATGAGTTGGTGTTGCTTTATTGTATGATATTGAGAAAAATCTTGGGCAGGATCCCAGGAGACCTGTGGATCTGTGCTTGCCTTTTCCACTCGGTATCTCAGTGGTTAAGAATTTGTTTCTATGTCTGGTGCTCAGTTTCTTCATGTGTATAATGAGAAGATTGAAATACGTGAACTCTGAGTTCCTTTTGGGCACTGAAATTCTGTGATTTTAACTAAGTAAATGCATATGATCCATGTGGACACAGTAAAATGCTGGTGGTATATGTAACTCAGAACTGAGACAAGTGCCTCTGGATTAAGCTGTGGGGAGTAAATGAGATGTAATGAATGAAACCTTTAAAACATTATGCCATTTGTGTTAGTTTTCTATTGCTGTATAAGAAATCATCACAATTTTTGCAGCTTAGGACAATATGCATGTATTACCTCATGGTTTGCATGCATTAGGAATCTGGGCATGGTCTAGCTAGGTCTTCTGCTCAGGCCCTCAGGAGGCTGCAATCAAAGTGTCAGTGGGCAACATTCATTTCTGGGGCTTGGTCTTCCTCTAAGCTCTGGTTGGTTGGCAGCATCATTTCCTTGAGCTTGAAGAACGCAGGCCTCTATTTTCTTGTTGGCCGTTAGCCAGGAGCAGGTGGCTCTCAACTCCTAGAGGTTGCCTGCAATGTTTTGCTTTATGGCTTTCTCAGAAACCCTTTGAAAATCTGGAGCTACTTCTCATGCCAACAAGAGACGATCCTCCATCCCTTATGCTAAGATAAAGTCTATCTTAGTGGTACTGGGTTGAATAATGTCCCCCCAAATTCATATCTATCTGAAACCTCACAATGTGACCGTATATAGAAATAAGTCCTTGTGTACATTATTAGTCAAGTTAAGGTAAGGTCATAAAGGAGTAGAGTAGGCCCGAATTGCATGGCTTGTGCCCTTATAAGAAAACAGAGGCACACGGACACACAGAGGGAAGATAGTCAGCAATATGACAACAGAAGCAGAGACTGGAGTCAGGCTGCTGCAAGCAAAGGAACACTAGGGATTTCTATCAACCACCGGAAGTGAGGAGAGACTCCTCTTGCAGAGCCCACAGAGAGGACATAGACCTACAGACACCTTGACTGCAGACTTCTGACCTCCAGAACTGTGAGGGAATACATTTTTGTTCAGAGCCACCAAATGTGTGGGACTTCGTTATGGTGGCCCTAGAGAACTAATACAATAACATAATGTCATCACAGGCATGATAATATCTCATTACTGTTGCTCTGTAACGTAGCCAAACCAAGGGGATGACATCCTATTACTTTTGTCATTTTTCTTGTTTAGAAGCAAGTCACAGGTGCCTCCCATGCTGGAGGAGAAAGGATTCTACAAGGCAATGACTTACTGAGATCGCTGACAGGGATGTCCAAACTCTCAGTGTCTCAGGGTCATACTTGAAGAAGAGTTGTTTTGGGCCACAGATTAAATACATTGTGACACATAATCACAAAAAAAAATCTCATAATGTTTTTAAGTAAATTTATGATTTTGTGTTGGGCCACTTTCATAGCCATCCTGGGCCACATGTGGCCCCTGGGCCACAATTCGGACACCCTTGCAAATGTACCTGCCACCTCAGTACCAAGTTATTATTTTATTTTGTGAAAGTGGGCCTTTCAATTACATAGAAATGGACTTAAGCAGCCCTATCTAACTCTCTTTACCATGATAACTCTCTAATTATTTTTAAATTACCTGAAAAGATATTTCATTTAAATTTTTCATTGTAGCTGATTCTTTTAAGTGATGGCTCTTTTATTTAAAGTTTATCACCCATGATACTTTTTGTGCTCTTAACTGTCTTTTAAAAATGAATTTGTTGATACTTCAATGACAAGTTGTTTTGAAGATAAAAGTTGATAATTTGAAAGCATAAAAAAGAAAAGCAAAGAAGTTTATTAGCTAAACTCTGCCCTTTAAAAAACATTATTAATACTCTGAGGTACTGGTCAATTGATCCATTTTCCTTTGAGCACCTACCTACCGTATCCTGAGCATTTACAATATTATTGTTAAGTATACTTTAGTACATATTCACCATTTAAAATGATGAAATGGTGGAGTCAAATGCAAGCTCTAAGTCATTGCAAAAGTCCTTGCCCTCAGATTCTCTACCCAGGATATTCTTACACAAAATATTAGTAGACTCCATCACATTTATTAGATTTTACAGAAATGCAGTTCAGGGTTAGCGGGAACCAACAAAGCAAAGTGATGTTAACTATAGGTACTCTGTGGTTTCACATTGTTCTTTAATCCAAATTTCCACCAACACTATGAAAAGCAGTCATATTTGCAAACTTATATTTCAGAACATCGATCATTTTTTCCTGTGGATTTCTTTGGGGGCTGCGAGACAGACGTATTTTTCTTTGGATACTGCCACCGAACCCCCTCATGGGATAGATTTCAACCCTTAGTCGGCCTTGGGAAAAATTTAATGTCTCCTTATATATGACCTTGTCCTCATCATGTTGCAGCTACTTCAGATGTATAGTCCCTGTGCATTTGAAATATTCTCTGAGGTTCAAACTTTTTATTTCAGAGATAGTTTGAAAAATCTATCAGTATGCCAAAGATAGAAGCTTACGTATTTTCTTACACAGTGCTATCAAAATCAGGTTCCTAAACTATTCCTGATTCTATAAAGATCATAATCAGAATTCTTTCCTCTTGCCAAATTCCTAAGTTTAACACTGCCTGAACAATCCTTTAGGGTATTGGTGTTTAATACTGCCAGAAAGATGCATTAAATGCTACAATCCCAGAAATATTGTTTGAACAATATTGAACATGGAAAAATAAAGTACATTTTAGGTCTCTGATCATAGAGTTGCCATGTAATATAATGAAGTGAAACTGCTTCATATACAGCAGTTCATATGGTAGAGTTCCAGGCTCTGGATTTTAGCAGCTGAAGGGAAGTGTTCAAAGTCCTTGATGAAACTTGCATGGTCAAAGGCAGCATTCTCCTTTCAGTTTTCTGGACTGGGTCTCTCTCAGTGAAATCCCATAGAGTTGGAATCCCATAGTTGGAATCTCTCTCAGTGAAATCCCTCAGCAGTTGGAATCCCATAGATCAACACCCAAGCTCTGGGGTGGGTTGATCTGACTGCAAATTTGAGTTCTGGCACTCCTTAGCTACAAAATGGGACAGTATAGTGCATCATAGGGAATGTATGTTGATTAAATAATGAACTTAATTTGCAGAGCATAAAACCTAGCATGTAGAAAGTGCTTAATGAATATGTTAGCTAAAAGCAATCAATAAAAATGAAATTTCAACTCAAAACGCACTTGCAAGTATCTATGTGGCAAACTTAGGCTATGGAGAAATTTGCAAATTATCTTGAGATTTTCTCTGGGCTACACTATTTTAATGCCATCATCCTGGTAAGAAGGAATACTCACTGGTTTGCTCTGCATGTCAAATGGTATGTTAGAATCTTTGTATAGTTGAACTCATTAAATTCTAAAAAAACCAACAAAAAACCTTATGAGAGATTCTCATTTCAAAATAGGGACTTGAGCTCAAATAATAACAGTAAGTTGCAGAGCTGTGATTTAACTCCACATCTGTTCACTCCCTAATCTAAGCTCTTTCTGCTCCACCATGCTGCCTCCCAAAGCAAAGCCTCCTCCTCTGAGGTGACCTCTGAAAATGGTTCATTATTCACTTGACCCAGAAAACCCGCCAAAATCATGCAGATCAAGAAGTTGAAATCTTCTTGTTCATTTTAAGAGCACTCATGAAATTGCCCAGGCCATCAAGGATACGCATATCTAAGAAGCCACCAAGCACCTGAAGAATGTCACTTTAAGGAAGCAGTGTGTGCCATTCTTTTGTTACATTAGTGGATTTGGTAGGTTTGCCCAGGTCAAACACAGGGTCAGTGGCTCAAAAAGCATGCTGAGTTTTCACTGCACGTGCTTAAAAATGCAGAGTGATGCTGAAGTTAAGGGTTTAGATGAGTTTCTCTAGTCATTGAACACATCCAGGTAAACAAATCTCCCAAGATGCGGTGCACAATTTACAGAGGTCATGGGCAGATTAAGCCACACACGAGCTCTCCCTGCCACACTGAGATTCTTACTGAAAAGAGCAGATTGTTCCTGAACCAGAGAGCAGGTTGCACAGAAGAAAAAAAGATATCCCAGAGCAAAGTAAAGAGACAACAACTTACAGCACCAGGGGGAAATTCAGCATTAAATAAATGCTAATAAAAGTAAAAAAAAAAAAGGCACCTGGCTGGTGTAGCCCAGTGGATTGAGTGTGGGCCTGCAAACCAGAGGACTGCAGTTTGATTCCCAGTCAGGGCACATGCCTGGGTTGCAGGCCAGTTCCCAAAAGGGAATGCATGAGAGGCAACCACACATTGATATTTCCCTCTTTCCTTCCCTTCCCCTCTAAAGATAAATAAATAAAATCTTTTTAAAAAAGTAAAAAAAAAAAGTAGAGCCTCCTGAAATTCACTCATGTTATATAATTTCTGTGTATAATGAAGAGAACAAAAATAAAAGTGGAAAGTGGTGAAAATTTTTACCCTGCAGAAAACCTGACAGTTCCTATGAAAAGGCATA